TCCATTTTTAGACAAGGCTATAATACAGGGCTGCTTTTGGCTCCTTTTAGAGCCCACTGGTTTCTTTTGAAACTATCTTAAGCTTCTCTGCTTTTGGAATTGTTAAGGCAGCTTTTTATAGCTCTTCTGTCTCCGGCCGGAGCTATCTGCCTTGCTTTCTTGCTGGCGGTTGGTCTGCGGAGTGACAGGCAGCATCTCTCCCACCTGATTTGCTGTGGCCATGGGGATGGGTGTGCAGACCTTGCTGGAATTTATGTAGATGGGGAATCAGCAGATCCTGAGGGAGGTGAAGGCTCCAGGACCCTTCTAGAAGGAAGCTCCCCACCCTCAAAGGGCATGCACATGGCTTTTTTCCCGGGCTTGCTGCTGGGTTGGTGGAGTGTTCCTGTGGCCTCCTCTGTCTCTGTTTCTCTGTCCTCCCACCCCCCTCCCCCGGTTGGGTGGTGGTGAGGCTCTGCTGTTTTATGAGGCGCTGGTGGAATCAGGAGCTACCCCAGGTGTGGTTGAGCGCCAGCCTGGGCCTGGGTCGTCTGAGCAACTGACCACTGAAGTGGGGAGGATACTAAAACAGGTGTTTGCGGGCCAGACGGCATTTTGTGCGGGAAGAGTAAAGGAAAAGGAAAGAAGTGATCCCTGAAACATTTCTGCCCCATGAGGCACTTCAAAATTTTTAGTGAAAGCTTTCAGGCATACTGAAAAGGCAGAGTAGAATTAAATGAACATCTGTGTCCCCAACACCCCGCTTTTTTTTGTTTTTGCTTTTTAATTTTATTTGTTTGAGAAAGAGAGTGCACCAGCAGGGGAAACGGCAGAGGGAGAGGGAGAAGCAGGCTTCCCGAGGAGCAGGGAGTCCCATGTGGGGCTCGATCCCAGGACCCTGGGATCATGACCTGAGCTGAAGGCAGATGCTTAACTGACTGAGCCACTCAGGTACCCGCCTCGCCGCCGCCCCCGCACCCAACCGCCAACACACTTTTAAAAATCACATTACCAGGGTGCCTGAGTGGCTCAAGTCGTTTGAGCAGCTGACTTGATTTCTGCTCAGGTCATGATATCAGGGTTGCGAGATCGAGCCCCACGTCTCGGGTTCTGTGCTCAGCGGGGAGCCTGCTCTGCAGGACTTGGGGAGATTCTCTCTCTCTGCCCCTTCCTCTCCTCTCTTGCTCTCTCAAATAAATAAATCTTTTCAAAAAATCACATTGCCTGTGGTTATATTGTTATAACTATATTAATTATAGTTAATAATAACTTTATTGTTAATAATATAATAATGATATAACTGTAGCTATAACTGATAATACTGTATTGTATACTTGAAAGTTGCTGAGAGAGTAGATATTAAAAGTTCTCATCACAAGAAAAAAAAATTTGTAACTACATGTGCTGATGAATGTCAACTAGACTTACTGTGGTAATCATTTCACAATGTATACGAATGTCAGATCATTACTTTGTACACCTGAGACTAATATAATGTTATACGCCAGTTTTACCTCAGTTAAAAAAAATTATGTTCCCATTTTGCCTTATTTGCTTTAGATTTTTAAAATACAATGTTACCAGATATCATTGGAAATTCACAGTATATACCCTTTCCCAGATTCTGTCCTCCTCCCTTCTCTCCAGAGGCATCTGCTCTCCTGAACTTACTTCGCTCCCGTACTATCATATGAGTGATATTTATCCATCTTGACTCTAGTTCATTGATTTTTGGGGTTTTCTTTGGGTTGATAGACTTTCTACTACTCTTCATCGGAGGTTGGCAAACTATGGGTCCTGGGCCAAATTTGGCCTACCACCAGTTTTTTAAATAAAGTTTTGTTGAGACACAGTCATTCCCTTTGTTTATGGATTTTCTGTGGCTGCTTTGCATCACCACAGCAAAAGCTGAGTAGTCCTGACAGAGACAATGGCAGAATGGTTGGCAAAGCCTTAGAAATTTACTAGTTGGCCCTTGACAGGAAAAGCTAGCCACCTCCTTCTGTAGAATTCTCTTGTACCAGTGTAGCACATGCATCTGTCCTCCTGTGGGTGAGCATTTGGGTCATTTCTCATTTTTTTTTATTTTACAAACAGGGCTTCACTAAACATTTGTGTTCCTTCAGGATTCTCCCTGGAGTGTGTAGCTGGAAGCGAAATTGCTGGGCTGGAGGGCATGGACACCTTTTTATTGGGCATTACTAAATTGATCTCTGAGGTGGATCCCCCAATCTGCACTCCCCACTGGTCGTCCCTGGGACCGTCTTCCCCTACGCATCCTGGCCAACAACCTGGTATTTTAAGACCTGAAGTTTGGCTTGTCTGCTGTGGGACAGGTGGGAGTGGTGCTTCATTACCGATGGCAGCTGCCGTTTTTTCCAGTTGTTATGGACCATTTGCCATTCCTCTTGTGGCCATTGCCTGATGGTATCCTTTGCCCATTTTTGACTGAGTTGTTTGCCTTCTTCCTCTTTTCCTCTTGCATTCTGAGCGATCTTCATGTAACATGGCTGCTAGTCCGTTTGGTTATATGCATTAAAGCCAGTCTGTTTATTTGGTTTTCAGTGGGTCTGGATTCTTTACTGGAGCTATGTTTTGAGGAATCGTCAGTATTAGTTCATCTTGACGATATATGTGATCTGTCTACACATGTTCATGCACATACATACATGTGATGTATATGTGTACACGTTTGTGCGCATACGCACACAGATGACTTCATTTCCTTGGGTGAGTGTGCAGAGTTGAAAAGGTGTGAGGCTGAAGAAAAGTAAGTAGATGCCAGCCCTGTCAACAAGGTTGATTTAGCACAGATCCCCCCACCAGGGCGCTCACGTACGTGTGCGACCACCCCATCTTGGAGTAATTAGAGTGCCTTTCTGAGGCTGTCTGTCGGAATGAGCTAATTGCTTCTGTCACTTGGGCTGCATGCACATGACCCACAAGGTCCCAGGGAAGCTGAAGGCCACCACCACGGGATGCCGGAGGGTTTGGAGAGCTGCCCTGGACAGAAACCGAACGTGATTTGTGGTTTGAGCCTCCCCATTTTGGTTTTGGCTGAAATCAGACCTTGGTTTCTTTCTGATCAAATTGAACCATCCTCTGGCCCACAGCGATTGAAATAATTAAAACGTATATTTTCAGGCCAGACCACTTTGGGGTGACTTTACATTGGTCCATTATCTTTAAAACTGAGAGCACTGGCTTCCCTCCATCCCTCTGCCTCCTCTGACCTTTCAAGCCAAACTTTCTGAGTTAAATAATTAAAGATAGTAAAAAAACACAAAAAACCCCAGAAAACCTCTGCAGTCCTTTGGGTTTCTGAAGCTCTGTGAAGTCTTCAGCCCTTTGCAGCCTCCATCTGTGTGTATCTTAACAATAGCTCAGTGAAGCGTGTGGGGAAGGTTTATTATAAATGCCATCTTGCAGTGGGGTCCACTGAGGGACACCACAGCTGACTTGCCCCTGATTCTGTTGCGATCTCCGTGCTGGGCCTGGCGCCCCAACTGGTGCTCTTCCCACCACGTGCAGTGCAAGTGTGGACTCATTCGTTCCCCGACAGCCAGTACTTTCACTCATCATCCCGGTCCCCAGTATCGTCCCCTGTATTGCCTTTGCAGGGAGGGCTGTGCTCATGGGACCGAGACAGACATAGCTAGGGGAGCGTGCCAGACATTGAGCGTGTGCCGGGAGTCAGATTTTGCATTGCACGTTTGCTCACATGTCATCTCATCTGATGGGCAAATTAATGCTCTAAGCAGGGCTGTCTTCACGGGCCCGTCACCTGCGCAGATACACGGGGCCCAGGCTCCGCTTGGAAGGGCTCCGTGCTTGCCTGTATGCCCTTCTTGAATTTGTCATTTTTGAACAGCTAACCCTACCTTTTCGGTCTGCACCAGGCCCCACGACTTACATAGCCAGTTCAAGCTATAGGCAAAGACGCCGAGGCTCAAAGAGGTGAAGTAATTTGCACGGGATTACACAGCTCATAACCAGCGGAGCTGGGATTGGACTGCTTGCCACTTTGCTACTTCATTTATTGAAAGTAGAGCTCGGGAGTGAGCCTTGTTTGAATTGTACTGCAGGGAACACGGGAACAAGGTAAATTGTGCTGTGGAAATAACTTACCTGTGGAGATTTGCTTGTGTGTTGTTAAGTAGCTCTTTGTGTTGACCTCACACTGGCCAACACTTGCCCCTCTCTTCCTTGAGGGGAGGGACCATGCCTGTCATTGCTTTTGAGGTTCTGAAAGTGCCTAGAACAGGGAGCCAGACAGGGGTGCCGCTCAGGCCGACCAAGTGCATAAATGGGCTTCTTTGATTGCAAAGAAATGGAGACCACTGAGTTTACTGAGTTTACTGTGTTTACTGAGTTTACTGCAGTGAGCCGTGAAGATACCTGAAGGATTAAGAGGCCAGTCCATAGTTCTAGAACCAGAAGAATCTGCTACAGCTCTTGGACCAGATCATGCCATCACCTCCCGGGTAGCAGAGGTTCATGGATTCCCTGACTCAGCTCCTCCTTGTGGCTTGGCTTCTCTGTGCGACGTACGCTCCCAACCGTTTCACTCGTGACTCTCACAGGAGATGCAGGTTTTGCCCCAGGCCTTTCAGAGGCAGCTGACCCACCTGGAAGTTAGCTGTGCAGAGTGAGGCATCGCCTTCTGGCCACATTGGTGTGCTTAACAGGGCACTGCCTGGTGACTCGGGAGAAGGAGCTTTTAGAATGGGGCGGGGTAGGTCCTATCCTCATTGGCTGGCCAATTTTCCCAGGATGGTCTTTGAGTTCACCCTCTTAGAAGATGAGCTCACTGCTTCCTGAACAGGGCACACTCTGGCTGGAGAAGGTTCTTGGGGTTCACGTGAGCTCACTGCCCCCTGAGCAGGACACACTTTGGCTGGAGAAGTTTCTCGGGGTTCCCGTGAGCTCACTGCTCCCTGAGCAGGACACACTCCTGGTTCTGGGAGTTCTCCATGGGACTTGCTGGCCTCCTTGGTGACCTCTCTGTTTTCTCTTCCTAGCGGCCAACCCTCTGCTTTGCTCCACTGCCCGCTACCACTGCAAGAACGGCCTCTGCATTGACAAGAGCTTCATCTGCGATGGGCAAAATAACTGTCAAGACAACAGTGACGAGGAGAGCTGTGAAAGCTCGCAAGGTAGGAAGCCTCCAAAGCTTTAAAAAAATAATTGCATCACCACACCACAGTAACACCGAAAGGAAGAAAACAGCAGACATACCCCCTCCAAATACAACAGCCATGTTAACGTTTGCCCTTTACCCTGCAGGCTCTGTAAACAAGCTTTTACTGGTAAAGCACCTACTGTTTTGGATTTCGTATTTCTCCTGTATGAAGTATCATGTATTTGTTTTCACTTCAAAACTGTAATTCACCCCTGCTGGGTTGCATACATACAGTCACGGTTTTCTAGATTGTTGCATTGTTGGGGCCCACCAGGATTGTCTCCTTCCCCTGCATCCCTTCTTCACGATAAATTCTGCAGAGTGGGACATCTGCACAGTTCATGGCTTACACCCCCACACGCAGCTGTTGGAAACAATTTTTTCTTTTCTTTACATGGGTAATAGCATTGTCTGTGCCTGTCAGTTTCACCTTTGTATCCAGGGTATTCACTGCTGTTCTGTTTTTTTCTGTTTTTGCTAATTTAGTAGTCATAGAATGATTGCTCCTCAAGTGCTTTAATTTGCATTTCTCTGATTATGAGCAGAGTCAACATTTTCCCCCGTGTGTTTGTTTACTACTTTGTTCCCTCTTATGTGAATTGCCTGCTCTATCAGGACTCGATCTCAGAGGAATTTTGTGGAATCTGAAGGGATGTGGTTGGAGGGGAGGGGGATAGAAAGGCGAGCTTTTTAGGGAGCCCAGAAGGATACAGCAGGGTCATATCCTCCTCTGTCAAAACTGATCGGGCACTTTTCTTTACTCATTGACTATTCTGGTAGTCACATTTTTTCAGTGATTAAAAAATATAGAGATTTAAAAGTGCACATCCATATTAAGACATCGTAAAAAGCACATATTTCTAATGTAAACTGGTATGATCTGTGTGCCGTCACTACTTTTTTCACTTAATATTCTGTTGCTGTGATTCATCCACATTATTGATTGCTGGTAGAGTTCATGTGTTTGGACTGTGATTCGGTATTCTGCTGTGTGTTCCACAGTTTGTAGATTGAATAAAATTGGAAACCAGAAAAGCAGGAGGACGGGGCTAACTGGTTAGCTCATATGTTGGGAGGCAGGTTGGATGGAATAAGCTCAGTGAAGTTACAAGTAAGTCCTTTTCAAAGTCCTAGCCTTTATTTTGGCTGATGTTTATTATGTTATTAAAAATGAATGAATGAAATGAATGGGTCATGTGTAGGCCGTAGGTGAGGGTAGGTCACACATCAAGGATTATGACCAGTCCAAGTCTGTATGCCTGAGGTGCATAGATAAGAAAGGACAAAATGTTTATCAACATAGATTTTTGCCAAAATTTGTGCAGAGGATGGCTCTGGGAGGTGAGTCTTGGGTAGAATTAACTTCTGATTATCCTTGTGTGGAAAATCCTGTCCTTGAGTTTTCCCTTCACCAGTGTTTCTCAAAGTATAATCCTAAGACCAGCATCACCAGCATCATGTGGGAACTCTTTGGAAATACAGAGCTCAGGCTGCATCCCAGACCAGCATAATCAACCCAGGAAGCGGGCCCAGGAATCTTTGTTGTAACAAGCCCTCCAAGTGATTCAAATACACAGTAATCCTGAGAACCACTGTTTTATACTAACTTTAGAGAGGTTGCTAATCTTGCTGTATGCCTGGGGATTTATTTATCTTTTTCTTTTTTCTTTTCTTTTCTTTTTTTTTTTAAAGATTTTATTTATTTATTTGACAGAGAGAGAGATCACAAGTAGGCAGAGAGGCAGTCAGAGAGAGAGGAGGAAGCAGGCTCCCTGCTGAGCAGAGAGCCCGATGAGGGCCTCGATCCCAGGACCCTGGGACCATGACCTGAGCTGAGGTCAGAGGCTTTAACCAACTGAGCCACCCAGGCACCCATATTTTTTTTTTCTTTTTTAAAGAGAGAGCACACAAGCGAGTGGGGGTGGGGGTGGAGAGAGTGGGTGAGAGAGAATCTCAAGTAGGCTCCCTGCTCAGTGTGGAGCCCAGTGCAGGGCTCGACCTCACAACTCTGAGATCATGACCTGAGCCAAAATCCAGAGTTGGATGCTTAACCAACTGAGCCACCCAGGAGCCCCAGGAAGCTGTGTTTAATTAGTACCTTATGTGGTATTGTAGTGTGTATGTGTTTAAGTTATACAAGTTCAAGTATCCACAATTTATTAAAATAATAAGTATTTTGCTGTTGTTTTAACAGAATAGATGATTCTGTAGTTCCCTCAGTGGGAATACGCTGCTCAGGGAGCGTGAGATGAGAATCCAGACCTGCTGGCTGCTTGGCCAGTCCGCAGTGCTGCGTTCCTCCTACAGTGTGAGCATCCTACTGCTCTGGGTGTGATTCTAGTACCAAAGGGTATGCTTTTCTCCATCATGTAGTTTCTAAATGCAAACTGGCTCCTCGTTTTGGTGCTTGAACAAAGGATTACCGGGGTACCAGTGCTGGAGGTAGACCTGATTCATTCTGGGGTTTGGAGAGACTGAGTTTCGTGCAGTGTCTTCTTGAAGAATTTCAGAGGCATCTTGACTAGACAAAATACGGTCTTATACAGCACAGGGTTCAGCCCATTGGCATCCTAATAACAGTGAACACTGAACGAGTCTTACACCAGACGCTGTGCTCAGCACCTTCTGCCTGTGAGCTCATTTAGTCAGAAAATATCCTATCTGCTTCTGCTGGGCTCCCAGCCCTTGAAAAATGCATCTTTGCTTTCACTTGATGTGGGAAAAGAAAATTATATTTTATAATGTTTATTTGGATGGAGTGGAGAGAACTGGCCCAAAGACAGGAAATAGGGTGTTTGAAATACTTTTCTTCCGACTCAGTGGGGGTATGAAAAAGCACTTTAGAGATACTAGCTGTGTGTGCCTCTCCTCCTCTTCTTACTCATCCTGATTTAGTTCCCTTCTTTCTCCTTGGCCTTCAAAACTAACAACAGACTGTCAGGACGTGGAAGTGGGAGTGGACCGTGAAAGTGCAACCATTACCATACCTTTCTGTTCCATCCGGGATATATAGTAGAGATCAAAGAACACTGTCGTGCAATGGATTTTTAATTGCACGACAGTGTTGATTGGAAACACAGCCTGTTCAACAGGTAATTCCAAAAGCAGGCTTGCATGTGGCTTTTCTGTTTCTTAGGAACACAGCTGGGAGTCAGCAGGTACTGCTGGGCAGATGTAGGGTGTGGCCAGGACTCAGGTATCCTCAAAGATGTTGGAATCAATCCTAATTCAACCAATGGATTCTTTCCAACTTTGGATAAATGCCCGAATGGGGCAGGCATCCTGCAGTGATCCTCACCCCCTGGGGTTCATGCCCCAGGATCGTCCCATCCTTTGAATGGGATCAAGATCTTGTGACTTGTGTGTTTTTTTTTCAAATTGTGGCAAAATACACATAATGTCAATTTACCACCTTAACCATTTTTAAGTGTGTAGTTCAGTGGAGTTAAGTATATTCATGTTGTTGTGCAACCCATCTCCAGAACTTTTTCATCTTGCAAGACTGAAGCTCTGTCCCCCATTAAACAGCTCCCTGTTCTCCACTCCAACCCCCAACGACCACCATTCAACTTTCTGTTTCTGTGACTTTGACTCTGTGATAACACTGTAAGTGGAATCGTACAGTATTTGTCATTTTGTGTCTGGCTTCGTTCACTTAGTGGAACGTCCTCAGTGTTCATGCATGCTATAACGTGTGTCAGGATTTCCCTCCTTTTTAATGAAGGCTGGATAATACTCCATTGTATGTCGGTACCACAGTTTGTTTATTCATTCACCCGCTGATGGACATTTGGGTTGCCTCTACCTTTTGGCTGCTGTGAACTTGGGTGAAGAGATGGCGGACTCCGTTTTAGTCAAGTAACAGCATAGTTGATTGCCATGTCCAAGATTAGATCAGAAAAGACTCTGGTGTCTGTTATGCTCACTCTCTCTTGCTTATGTGGATGGAAGCTGGCTGCCATCTTGCAAGCTGCCTTGTGGAGAGGCTCACATGGCAAGGAACTGGGTAGGGACCTGATCCAAAGCCAGGGAGGACCTGAGATCTGTCAGTGACTGCCTGAAGGAGCTTGGAAGTGGCTCCTTGCCCAGCCCAGCTGTGAGCTGTCTGTGGCCCTGACACGTACCTGGACCGTAACCTTGTAAGAGGTCTTGAGCCAGAGCTAAGCCACTTCTGGGATTTCGACCCATGGAAACTGGCAGATAATACGTATTTGGGTTTTTAAGCCTATGCATTTTGGAGTAATTTGTTATACGGTAATTAATAACTAAAAAAATGAATACCTTTTAAGTGGGTCCCCATTCTGATTGCTGTCATCACAGAGAGCTTCTGAAGGCTCAGGTGACGGTGAGAGGGCTGGGCCTGGGAAAGCAGATGCGTAGCCATCACTCTGTGCACTGAGTAAATGGCAGGTACCGGCTTAATCATGGTACCTGTATTTTTCTATCCGGTGCTGCAAAATTCCTGGAAGAGAAGGCCCTGTCCCAGAAAATGACCCCCATTTCTGCACAAAGAGCTCGAGGAGCACACAGGTTGTTCATGGTTCTCCTGTGTCTGCGTAGCGAGTAAATGCTGAATCCAGGATGGGAACAAATGCACATCCTTCCTGTCACCTTGTGACACGACCATCTGGTTATCCCTCGCCGGGGGCCAGGAGCTCCAGGTGGTCCGTGCACGCCCGGCCCTCTGTCCTATGAGCTCCAGGGGAACGCTTCGTTCGAACGCTGGCCTTTTTCCCCTCGGTTTGTACTCAGGCTTTCCTTTCAGGGGGAAAGACTAATGACGCCTGTCTGCCTTCCCACTCTGTGAGAAATGCTGGAGAGTTAAGCATTTCTAAAGAAGCCACCAATGCCAGGAGAGTTAATTGAGTATTTTGGCAATTGGGTTGCAGTTTCTTTATCTTGCCTGCTGTATCCTGGTGATAACGCTCAAGGAGAATTTGGAAGGCTGATCGTGAGGTTTGGCACCTCCCTAGA